ATGTAGATATCTGAATTGGTGTACAATTTTGCTATCTGCATTCTCAACAAAAAAGCAAATAAAAAATATTTTTTTTTAAAGAAGCAAGAAGATTGGTAAAATCTCCTCTGCCTATAGAACAGACAGCTCATTCACCTAACGTGGAGATTAGCCCTAGCGATTGTTTAGCGCTGGGAGTGTGGTCCACAGGAGCTGCTCTGCTGAATGCCTCTGTGGTGATTCAAATCCACTGGGTAAAGATGGGCGCTCTTCTCCCACACAGCTTACAGCCTCAGAAACCCACTGCAGAGTCAACTGGAATCTGTTTTGACTTAATGGCAATGAATCTGAGTATAAAAATGACCTAGGGATTTTAACATTTGTATTTAAAGTTAAAACTAATACTGGCTTCCAATATTTCTTCTGATAAATTCCTGTAAATCTTCAAGCTCTTAGGAAGTAAAACACAAGTAAAATAAGCATTTCTAAAGTATGGGATCTATTTCTGAAACAATGATTTCAAAACATACTCCTACCAATTCTGGTTCACAGTGAGCCTATGTTGTTGTTGTTGTTATGTGCCATGGAGTCACTTGCGACCCATAGCGACCCTATGTACAAGAGCTCTAAATGCTGTTCTATCCTGTGCCAACCTAGCCATCTCAAACGCACTTATTCCCACCGCTCCAGTTACAGAATCGATCCATCTCACCAAAGGTCTTCCTCTCCTTCGCCTCCCCTCCACTCTGCCAAACTTGATGTCCCTTTCCAAGGACCTATAGGACAAAGTAAAACCGCCTCCTGACATTTCCAAGACTAAATCTCTACAGAAGCAGGCACTTCTCCCGCACAGTGGCTGTCAGGTACAACGTGCTAGCCTTTTGGTCAGCTGTTTCGCTCCCTAACCACTGTACCACCAAGGCTCCAACAATGACTTAAACTCAATTCATATGTATTCATTGCTGTTGAGTAAGAACCATCTCGTAGGTGACCTTCCCGCAGGTTTCCAAGGCTGGAAATTGCACGGGAAGAGACTGCACATGTTTCTCCCAAGGATTGCTGGTGGATTTGAACCTCCAGAAACCTCAGCCTTTGGGTTAGCAGCCAAGTGCCCCAAACGCGAGGCCAACAGGGCTCCCTAAAAAACGACTGAGCAGAAGTTAACCAAACTAGAAAAGGGCTTGCCTTCAATTAGTCACACAGCACAATGCTGCCCTCTAGCAACTTAAGAATAAAACAGCACCTACAAGTCAACTGATTTTAGGGCTTTCTAGCATTAGCAGTCTATTACAGACGATGGTATATTTATAAAAAAAGGCAGTTTTGAAAAACTGGATCAATTATGTTTACTGCATTGAAGTCTATGGGGGAGAGAATAGTTTAAAAGTATTATATTTTAGGGCATTATGTTTATCATAAGAGTACGGAATGAGGGTTGCAGAGTGGGTTGGGGGTGGGGTTGGGGGATGTGCTGGGGGGGGAATTGTGTACCAATGAGGGAGTTTTTCTTTTGCTTTTCGGGGAGAGGAGCAAACGGGGGGGGAAGGGGGGGAGAAGGGTACAACAATGAACTAATGGAACTCCAAAATCTTTGCAGATGTTCATTGAAATGAAAAATAAATAAATAAATAATTTACTTAATAAAAAAAATTTTTTAAAAAAAAGGCTAAATCGATGGGTCCATCTTGGAAAAAATGTTCCTTCAGAATGAGGACAGAGTAAGTTCAACAAGGCCCACATGGACTGCTTTAGATCACCTCCAGTACACCTGAAGAAAGAAGCTTAAAGATACCATCCATGAACCCTTTTTCTAAAAAAAAAACACACAAAACCAAAACTGGCAGCGAAGACTTATTACTTCTCTGGGCAGAGCCACTTCTTATCACTGGAAAACTCCCTTCCTCCAGAGTCTAACTTCTCTCATGTTTTAGAAGGGAGGTGAGGTAAAAGCTATTGGAACTACTTTGGTAGTTTCCATAACCAAACCCTCAGCCCCCTTAATATGTCTTCAACACATGATGTATGTTCAGGTTTCCTAAGAAATGTAGGAACTAGTCTATAAAGGACATACTATACATAAAGAATGAGGGTACCAAAAAAAATTTTTTAAAAAAAATTATGGTACCCAAGTGTCAACTCTACAACTTAAATATCCAAGCTGGTGAGCAACACACATTTTCAGGAAGGAGAGTGACTAATAAACTATATACTCTCAAATCTGTATACCCTCAATTCATAGTGACAATCATCTGAAGTGAAGTCATTTTATCATCTTCCCCACAAGACCTGGGAGTTCAATCAACATTCACTCTGTGATCTTAACAGTTCTCTACCAAGCTGGCATATCAAGCTCATATCATAAATTATATGAGTGGTTCATCAAAGCCACTGTTTAGCCAGCACCTTGAAACTTGGAGAGATCTATTCTGGGCAAAGAGAAATGAGAATAAGCATTAACTAGGAAGTATGAGATATGAGACTTATACCTATATCATTGTTTTGTTTCCAACCCACAATGCCAAATGGCAGGCGGCAGAGTAAGTTTATTCTTATGCACAGGAGAGCCAGTGTGTACATAAGCCCAGTTTGGTGGTGAGTTCTTCGGCCTTGGCCTTCTCCAGCTTGGTGATGTGGGCCACTGGCTTGGGCCTCAGGACATTGCCTCCCTAGCGGCAGCAGAGCTTATCATATGGTCCTGATGGCTTCTACCAGCCTCACCAGAGCACCTTTATCTTCTGGGTTCACCTGCATGAAGGCAACAGTGGTACAGGTGGCCCAGCCTGGCCTTGCCCTTGATGATGCAGTCGATAACACCCATCTTATGACACAAGGCTGGCAGGAAGACCACCAGCTTGATGGAGTCCACATCATGTGCGATCACCACCAGTTGGGATCTTACTCTCCACCAGGATGGTGAGTGTATTCACCCTGGCACAGAGGACAAGGAGTCTCCTGGTGGGGGTGTCTCCTTTGACAGCAGCCTTCTTCTCAGCCCGGGCCAACAGACTCTGCCTCTTCTCCTTATTGGTCTCTGGTTGGTACTTGTGAGTCAGCTTTAGCAGCTGAGTAGCAGTCTGGCAGTCCAAGGCCTGGGTAACGTGGTTAATGGTGGATGGCACCTTGAGTCAATTGTAGAGGACTGCCCTTTGCTGATGAGGCCAGATGTGGAGGGCCATTTGACAAAGCAGGGCAGGTCCCTTTTGGGTTGGATATCCTGCCGGATGCCAAAGTTTTTGGGTCTTTTCTCTAACAGGGGATTCATCACCTTCTTGGCCTCCTGCTTCTTGACCACGGCAGGTGCCAGGACCACCTACTTCCCCTTGGTCTTCTTCCCCTTCAGCATCTTGGGTGGATGGAAGAGAGTCTACATTATTTTTTACTATAGACAAGTTTTCAGAATCTCTTTTGGTCTTAAAATGAAGGTCCTAGATAAAGTGAGGGAAAGTGTGAAACAGAATTTTAAAAGGTCAGGCTTATTGGTCCTATAAAGACCGGTAGAACTCTCACAACTCCCTTAGTGACCTTTTTGAACCTAGAACAAAACTCACCCCCTCCCATAGTTCTATTTTCAGACAACCGAGAGAGGATCAAAACTAACACCAAAGGGAGCTCTGGTGGCCCAGTGGCAAGAAGCTGCGCTGCAATCCCAAAGGCACGCAGTTCAAATCCACCAGATGCTCCGCTGGAGAAGGAGGGCAATCTCCTCCTGTATCAGTCAGATCTGATTCAACAATATACAACAAGGAAAAAAAACCAAACTAACACGAGTGATACTCACTCATTAGAATAACAATTATGTCCAAGAATAAAGCCGAGAAGGCAGGACAAAAGTAATGGAAATGAGAATTACAGAGAAGTGTGGAAAGTGTGATTATACTGGAGATACTGTAATTAATGTTCTAAAACTAACCGTATGAATGACTAAAAAGCAATATACTTTGTATACTTCCACGCAAATCACACAGAAGAGAGTATGTAGTAGCCAAGTGTTTATTCAGACATTTCTACTGTCAGTGAGCAGAGCAAGCTCAAGAAACCACTATTTATAAATAATTAGACATAAAAAAAAGATTCTGAAATGATCAGTAAGGATGGGCTTCTCTTGAGGCTCACATGGATCTGAGGGGGAAAAAAACAGAAGAAATTATAATCATAATTAAAAGCAGCAATTCCTCTGTTAGGTACACACTCAAGAGACTTAAATAGTGACAGATAAATGTACACCTGTTTCATGACAGCACTAGTAACAACTGCCAAAAGGGGCAAACCACCCAAATGTATATCAACAGACGAATAAACCAACAAAATGTGACTGAAGTGGACAATGGACTACTCCGTGATCTTCCACTGGATGCATTATACATACTACAACATGAGTGAATCTTAACACTGAATGAAGACAGTCAATCAAAAAATGACAAATGATCTCAAAGAAAGAAATGTATAGAGATCAAAGGTTAATAGTCATTCCCATGTGCAGGAGGTAGAGAGAAAGCAGTATGACTGGGATGCACTGAGTTTCTACTGGTGGAGAGAGAAAATATGGCAATGGACACAGATGATGATTGCACACCATGGCTGAAGTTAAGCTATGTCACTAAATTTACACTGACATTCTGAATTGAAAAACGTATTCTTCTCTATCTTTACAATTATTTTAAAATGCGGGGGGGGGAGTATTTTTTTTAAAAAGTGAGAAATACAGCTCAGACAAGATCTAATTCTGTCTGAAGACAACTGTTTTCTCTTTTATGGATTAAATACATTTGGTAATTAGTCTGATGCTCATTCATTAAGGTGTGACCTTTAAAAAGCAGCGCCAGAATGATATGATGCAGGATAAGAAATTCCCAAGGAATACTCAAGTCCAATTGGACTACTGCTTATCTACTTTCATCTCACGCCCCTAAACTGAAGATGCAGCAACCCAGGAACAGAGAAATGAAAGCAAACGAATGTAGCCCCTTCTCCACCTAACAGCAATGAGTTTAAACCATAGAATTAAAAATTATTTTCTTACATCATAGAACCTCTTCAGAAGTCTGAGTAATGGTGTAACCTGAAAAAAAGTAAAGATAAATCATCTAAACAACTTTAAAATTATCCACACTATTGTCAATTAGATCTATTAACTGGCACTTGACAAAGACATAATTTTTCTTTACACAGCAGCATTTTATGCAAAAAAAAAAAAACACCCCAAAACCACATAATCACAATCCTCCTTGAAAGGCTCCAGGGCTCAGACTCCTGAACCTGACCAACTGTAAGATCCAAATGCCTCAGAATTCAAAAAAAAGTACTAAGCTCACTCCAAAGCATCAAACTGGAGTATATGAAACACATGATCAGACATATCCAACAGAAACACTGTCAGTCCAACTCATCTGCTAGTACAGCTACAGTCACAACCTGGAAAGCCAGGCTCTGGTGAAAAATCTAACGGTCTTTGAAATTCAAT